CCCTCGGCCCCCCGCCGCCCTCGGGAGGCTCCGGTCCCGCGCTCTGTGAGGGCTGGCGGGGGCTGAGACCTCCCTGGTGGCCAGAGCGGTTGTGTTGCGTTGATGAAGGTCTTCTGTAGTGGGGCTCCCCAAAATAACCGTCCTGGGTAAACGTCCAGGTGGAGGCAAACCCTTCGGGGCTGGCTGAGTAAGAAGAGGAAGACTTTAATGTGAATAAGGGAAGCTTCATCGCCGAGAAGTGTCCTTTGTGGCCTGGGGGTGGGGGGGTGGGTGTCTGTGCACTTTATAGTTCAGGTCTGTGGAAAGAAACCGACACAAGTAGTTCTTATCTTTCCACGTTAGAAAGCGCCCTTGTGTCCTGCTGGTGGAGAGATGCTTGAGGGGGTGGGTGTTGCATAGTTGCAATTGCAAATCAGGGAGTGGGAAGATGCAAAAATCAAGAGTATTCCCACAGCATATGTATTGTCTGAAATATACAGGGTATCTGGCCATATTAGTTATTATGGGGTTTTTCTTTAGCATTTATCATTTGACTTGATTCTTGTGTACATGTGTACTGATGTGAAAGTGTGAGCTTTTGCTTTAAATGTGACAACTGTTGTCTTAGTGCACAAAATATTTTTGCTTTAGTTGTATTAAACTTAATTGTATGTTTAAACTGGAACAGTACTTTCTTGGATGTAGTTATATACTATGTAGAATGTAGCTGTGTGGTGTACAGAGTGTAGTTATACAGTTTACATGTATACTTACTGCCTTGGAGCTCCAAGTATTTTACTCTCACTTCCAGTTAATTTAATGAAAAATCTAGGCATTACACAATGTAAATCGGTGGTAGAAGACAATAAATCAATTTTTACATTCTACTTATAAACATTTACATTCTACATTTAAAACCCTTAACATTATTTAAAACAGCTTCCTGCTGGATGACAGGACTTGAGAAGAATGCAGTCTTGAACTTCTACTGTTTTTCCCTCCAATAATACATCAAGTAGCAGTATCTACTACTGAAGACTTCAGCCAAGAATTGGTTCTTGGTTGTTATGTAGAGTGTCTTTAGCAGGCGGGGGGGGAGAAGGGACAGGCCTACACTGTAGTTTCAGGCTGACAGTGCTGCAGGTCTCAAATAAAGGAAGTAAGAGAGGCACCAGCAAGGGTTTAGGAGAAGAAATGGGAATGGCTGAGGAGTAATCAGCATTACCATCACCACTGCAAAGCTTGGGATCTGGTGGTATCAAAGGATTGAAAATAAAACTTTAAGTTAGCATAACCTACAAGGTTTTGTGTGTGTGTGTGTGGGTTTTTTTTTTGTTTTGTTTTTTTTGTTGTTGAAGATCTGGGATTTGCTCTAACTTTATTACCAAGCTGCAGGTGTGTGTCTGGCCTAATTGAAAGAGAGGAGCTGTTCAAATCATTAGATTAACTCAGGAAGAATTAGAAAGCAAGTGAGAGAACTTCTAAACTCTGGCACATTTTTGTGTTTTTTGAAGCTTATTTCTGGAAATTTGACTGTGATGAGAACTTAATAGATTTGTTTCTTTAGTGGGAAGGAAGATTTGAACTCAGTTTTTCATAAGAAATTAACTCACATTTTCATGAGATTTCAGCAAAGTTTTTCATAAAAGTGCACATATATTCTCTATCCATTGTTTTTTGCAGTTTTCTGATTGTTTGGCATTCCCAACTGGCTGAGGAGTAATCAGCATTACCATCACCACTGCAAAGCTTGGGATCTGGTGGTATCAAAGGATTGAAAATAAAACTTTAAGTTAGCATAACCTACAAGGTTTTGTGTGTGTGTGTGTGGTTTTTTTTTTTTGTTTTGTTTTTTTTGTTGTTGAAGATCTGGGATTTGCTCTAACTTTATTACCAAGCTGCAGGTGTGTGTCTGGCCTAATTGAAAGAGAGGAGCTGTTCAAATCATTAGATTAACTCAGGAAGAATTAGAAAGCAAGTGAGAGAACTTCTAAACTCTGGCACATTTTTGTGTTTTTTGAAGCTTATTTCTGGAAATTTGACTGTGATGAGAACTTAATAGATTTGTTTCTTTAGTGGGAAGGAAGATTTGAACTCAGTTTTTCATAAGAAATTAACTCACATTTTCATGAGATTTCAGCAAAGTTTTTCATAAAAGTGCACATATATTCTCTATCCATTGTTTTTTGCAGTTTTCTGATTGTTTGGCATTCCCAACTATTCTGCTAGGCCACCGCACCCCACCCCACCCTTTTTTTTTTTTTTTTTTTTTTTTTTTTTTGCAAGTCTAGAAGGCATATAGATTATTTTTTGTGGGCTGAATCTTTCTGATGCCTGCCTTGGATGCAGTAGTGGCTTGGGATGGACACGCCATGTCTACTTGGTGGAATAGATGTGAGCACTAGGCTTCTTTAGTTTGGTTCTGGCTGCCCGCAGGAGCAGTTACCTACAGGGATCTGATGCCAAGATATCTGTAGTGCAAGACATTCATCTAGAGGTAGCAAGGATTTCACATGAACACTTAAAAGCTGCATGGGTGTCGTAGAATCCTAGTGTTCTCTCACAGGTATAGTATGGCACTTTTATTTGCCTGTAAACAAACACACAGTGTGGTTTTGTGTTGTGTAAATCTTTAAAACAGCCCTTCAGAAAGTAGCAGTGATGATGCCCAAGTGACAGGCTAGGCCACTACATCTTCTGAGTGGGGATGCTGTCAAAATCCCTAGCTTTTCTTGCTTGACCAACATACTGCAACAGTAACAAAAGACTTCTAAGGAGGAGTCCTCTTCAGAATGATTTTGTTTACTTTAAAAAATAATTTAGAGTAGGTGTTCTAATTTTATACTGGACAATTTGTACAGTAGTTGACACACTATTTTCTTTCATCTGAATTTCTAACTGTATCTCAGATGTACTTTATACTTCTTTCCCTCACAGAAAAGGACATTCACCCTTGAAATAGCCAGTGACAAAATTTGCCTCTGAGTCTTGTAATTTTCCCCTGTTGTTATTGTTGCATTTTTATGTATATTTTGGCATACTTGGGTATGAGGAGAAGATAGATTGCATACAAGTGAGAAGGAAAGTAGCTAGAGACACATTTCTGTCAAATACATAGTTTTAAATCTTGCCCATCTGCATGCTGCTGTGAAATAAAAGGCCTTTTAACAAGTATGGAGCTTGTTAATTAATGTTTTTCCAGGCCTTTCTTTAAACTTGGGCAGTTAAATTTTCACTGAAATTTAAGTTTTGTGGGAAAGGAAAAACTTGTTTTTAAAATATGAACTGTCTGTGAAAAGTATGCTGGTTTTAATTTTTGTGTCAGTGGGCATGTAAGGTCATATGGGTGACAATTGTCAAGTTCTGCCTGAAAACGATGGGACAAAAGTGTAAATTTGCTTGGGTTTTATTGGTAGAAAACTAAATGAAAGTACATGATACAACAATGTAAACTGTCTTAAACTGGCTTTTACTTGTGTGAATGGTGTAAAGCAGTGTAAATGTCCCAAGGCTTTCATATGCCACCTCTATTTCTGATGACTGCAGTGATTTCTCTTACTAGCTTCTCTTTTAATATATCGGTATAATTGATCCCAGCCATTATTCTTAAATGCTTCAATGTGCTAGTTCTTCTGCAAAGTAAACCGCATATATTCATGTTTCATGGAGCAGCTGTCCAGTTTTCCGTAACTCATGACAGTAATTGATGGGGTTCTATTCTTTAGTTCTGCTTTAATTTTTTTGTTAGTTTTCAAGTTTGGTGTTTTTTTGTTTTTTTTTTTTTTTAATGCCTAACTCTGTAGTACATCACCAATTTATTTTGTAAAGTCTGCATGTTATGACCATATGACACTAAAGTCATACTTTGTTTTTTCATGTTGGGCGGGAGCATATCTCTTGCTCTTTCATGTCCCAATTCAGATTTTTCTGATCTTTATGCTGCGATTGGTAGTCTTGGGTGCCTCTTGCCATTTCTAGTTTTTTCTGCATTTAGTTATGTGGAGTCTTGCTGATGTACTCCATGACGCATAAGATTCTGGTTATGCCAAGTATGAATGTTTTCTCACATCAACTGGACTTACAAAATTAAAATTCTTTGCTAGGATGTGTTTTTCTTGTTTAAGAGACTAGGTGTTATGCAGAAAGTCAAACCTGCTTGGAACAAGAAAATCCTTTTGACAATTCTTTTTGCCCCAGACTTGTAGTTGAGTTAGTCCTCCTGCTATCAGGAGCAGCTCTCCTGGAAAACTTCTGAAATAGCCCATAGTCACTACCTGATAATTTTTCTAGAGCAAACAAAAGCAGAATGACTTTCTGCCCAGGTGTTACACTTGTCTTCTACACACCTCCTTTAGACTTTCTCACAGATATATATAGAGAGATATATATTGTATCCTGTGCCTGAATTTACTTGTTCAGTTTCAAAGGTTGTGCTATGAAAGAAGAGGTCCCGTGAGGGAGAGGAATGAGACACCTTCTTTCTGGTTGTTCTTGAGCCCTTTGTCTCTTCAGTTCTGCCTCCCTGCCACCCCCTCCTATTTCTAGCTATACCTTAGCAGATAGGTATTTTGCTGGGTGCTCATAGTAGTCACTTCCCCTGTAGAACACTTTAATGCTTTTTAAAAAAGCAGTGATCCTTCTGAAATGTTTGGCTCTATATGTGTTACCTTGCATATTTTCAAAGGGTGGATGGTAGAACACATACACACAAACAACTGCTGATTCTGAAGTCTTGGATGTGTTTCTGTGTCCCAAGTTTTAGTTGCTTGTTTTTAACCAATATAATAAGACAATATTTCTAGTCGTCTTGTGTTCTACTTAGTGCTTTACAGCCAGTTACAACAGTCATCTTCCTCCTCCTTGCTTCTCGTGAAGTTTTCATAAATGGTTTCTTTATTGCAACCCTTTCAGGGTATATCACATGCTGTTCTGTATTTGAAGAGCTGGGATTTCTATTAAACTTCTAGAAACAGAAATAATGAAATAGTCTGAGTCATTAGGATCTTTCTATGGTTCAAAGAACTGTGGTGTTCATACTGTCACTTGAACACTGGACCTAGCATCTGTACTCTTACAATATGTGAAGGATTGTGAAGTACTTTGAGCAGTGTATTTGGAGATGAAATTCCTGAAGTTCATGTATCTTTCTTCCTCTAAATAGGTTTAGTATTTAGCTGTCTTATAGTTTTAAAACTGCAGAATGCTTGTTTCTTTGGCCTCCAGGTTGCCTCTTAAGTACTCCAAGATATCTGTTATTTGACAGTGACATTGGTTTTGATCAGTTTACGGCTGTTCATGATTGTTTCCCTAGCTCTTCTCAAGCACTCCCAATGCCTTGACAGTAATGGTGCTGCTGAAACCCTTTTGGTATGGATTTTTTTTTCCTTCTCATTTTAGCAGGCATTGCTCTTTTGATGAGCAGATGGAAATGTTCTCCTCTTAAACACCTTTGTTTGAGGTTACTGTATGTTTTCCCTTTTCTTTCAGTTACTAAAAAGTTCAGTCCCTCCTCTGTTGAGTACGTCTTCTGTTACGCAGCTCTTTGATCAAGTGAGAGACTCAGCTAATGGCCATGCTCACTTTTTGAGGCTCTGCTGGTATCGTAAGCATACTGTGCATGCTTTTTGGTGGTGGCAAGCAGAGGATGACTGCGGTAATTACTCAGTGAATGCTGCCTTTAAGGCTTCAGATAACCTGATTGGAGGGGAGAAAAGAATTTTAAACAAAAGAAGCAAAATGAATGATTTCTTTATTTAATACCTACCTGCAAAATCTTTTTTTTCCCTCTTATTTGTCTCAACTTACATGTGTTCAGTAATGAAATGCATGCTTCCCTGCAAAGTTCCATCTTTCTGCTTTCTAGTCTCTTAACAAGCAGAGAGAGGGTGAAAAAGAAAGTAGTTGTTATGTGTTCCTATGTTTGATTTGTACTCCACTTCTGCAGACTTAATTTAGCTGCTTTCACTTGAGTTTTCTGCTGTTTTTCTTTATGTTCATGAGCTGTGCCTTTCCTTTGCTGTGGAGATTTTTCTCCCTTAAACACATGTACTTTCCAGCTTCCTGCCTGTTTGCTTTAGCAAACTGCATGGTCTTCACAGCAGTTCATGCACCTTTCCTTACTGATTGTGGATGCTTCTTGTATTCATATAATTGCTACATGTGTGAAACAGTTCTTTGATATATGAAAGTGTACACCCTTGTGCCCCCTCTCCCTTTGCTTTCCTTGTTTAACACCAATCCATGTGACCTGTGTGGTTATACAATTACTTTCAATTTTTGTCTTTACTTAGATGGTTGGCAGTAACAAGTCTCTTCTGACTCACAAATTTCTTCATCAATCATTTCACTTTAATTTTTATTAGTTCTCTATATCACAGAATTGCATCTCTTGATATGGAAGAGTTTCTTTTGAACACTGTTCTTCCAGTGTTAGATTTGACAATCTTTTCTGTCCATGTCCTTCTCCCTTCCCTTATTTTGTATTCATTTCCAGGGAAGTGTCACAGGATAACATATTTTCCATAAGTTCTCAATGATCTGCTGTGCTTCAGAATTTTTTTTATTTCCTTTTTCCTCCTCCTCCTGCATATGGAATACATCGTCTAAATCTGACACTACAGCACCAGCTATTCTTCAGCTCATCTTCTACTTTAATAGTACCCTTGGCTATCATGTAGAGTTAACTTGTTATTTTGATCTTGCAGCAAGATTCCCTATAACTTTTAGGCTGAAGGATTTACATGTTGCAGCCACCTGGCCTCACTGCAATGTGTGTGTGTGTGGTTATATTTTCCTGCGCTATATTCAGCGTCAGCTCCATTGCAAGGTTGCAGCCAAGTTGTGTTCCGAGATCTTCCAGGAGTCTGGGGGGGGTGGATAGATGGGAATGCTAGAGACTGGGGAAAGTCTAGGACTGCTTGTAAAGGACAAAGCGTAGTGGGAAGAGTGCATTGAAGGTGCTGGGAGAAATCATAGGGTGATACTGAGTGATTTGAGACTCTGTGAGAGAACTGGAGGGCAAAATAAGGTGTTGTTATATAATTAGAGATTTTGTTGTACCTGTCTGTATGTACATTCACAAAGATGCAAAAGGGGCTGCCCCAACAACTCTCAGGTGAGAGCACTCAACTCTCTTGGAAGTTCAGTGTTCTGCTACCACCTGTGAAGGTGAAGTGCTACCATATACTTGCAGAGCCATCTTGACTGGATTCTGCTTTTGACTTGATGTAATTCACTGGCTTACGAGTGGTATAGTTTAGAAAGTGGGTACTTCAAGTGGGATTGGTTTATACTTTCTTAGATAACAACATGGCAGTAATGAGCAGGTATTTGTGTGCTGGCTACTTTTTGATGAAAGGTGAGCTTTACTGTATTCTTTGGCTGTTTCCACTTTAGCAAAGGAAGTGGTTTGGACAGTCCCATGTTGCTTTGAATTAAGCAAACATTAGTGGGAAAGTGATAATGACAAAAATTGTCATAACTTCCTTAATTTTGCATGGTGGCTGATTAAAATTTTATTACTGCTCTTTAATTGTGCATTTTATTTTCATTGGAATATATTTTTCTTTATAATCTTTTTTTCTGTCTGCTCACTTGTATGAAAATTTGCTTGAGTTCTGTGTATTTGCCCCCCAACCAAACAAATAACTTTTGTCTTTCTTTTAGCAAACTGAAAAAACTAAGTGAAGATAGTTTAACCAAGCAGCCTGAAGAAGTCTTTGATGTTCTGGAGAAACTTGGTGAAGGGTGAGTGCAGCTATTTATGAGGGGATGGGATCAGAGGGAAACAGTATATAAAGCATGTGTTGGGATATTAAGTTACAGAGAGAGTGACTGTAAATGTCCTAAGGAATGCTTCTCTAGACAAGTTTTAATAATAAAGCAAGTGCATGCATCGGTAGACTTCCACGCTTCCCTTTCTGGCCTCTTCAGGGATCTGCTTGGTAGAGTACCATGGGATAAGGCCCTGGAGGGAAGAGGGGCCCAAGAAAGCTAGTTAATATTCAAGGATCACCTCTTCCAAGCTCAGGAGCAATGCATCTCAACAAAGCAGAAGTCAGGCAAAAATGCCAGGAGGCCTGCATGGGTGAACAAGGAGCTCCTGGACAAACTCAACACAAAAATGTGGTCTGTGGAGGGTGGAAGTAAGGAGAGGAATACAGGAATGTGAAGCATACAGAGAAATTATCTGAGCAGCCAGGGAACAGGTTAGGAAAACTAAAGCTCTGACAGAATGAAATCTGGTGAGGGACATCAAGGGCAACATGAAAAGCTTCTATAACTACATCTGTGATAAAAGGAAGACTAAGGAAGGTGCGGGGGCCCTCTCTGGAAGGCAACAGGAGACCTGGTTACCCAGGATATGGGGAAGGCTGAGGTATTCAATGACTTTCTTGCCTCAGTCTTCACCGGCAAGTGCTCAGACCACACTGCCCAAGTCATAGAAGGCAAAGGCAGGGACTGGGAGAATGAAGAATTGCCCACTGTAGAAGATCAGGGTCGAGACGACCTAAGGAACCTGAAGGTTCACAGATCCATGGTCCTGATGAGATGCATCTGCAGGTCCTGAGGGAACTGGCGGATGAAGTTATTAAGCCACTATCCATCATATTTGAGAAGTCTTGTCAGTCCAGTGAAGTTCCCACTGACTGGAAAAGGGGAAACATAATCCCCATTTTTAAAAAGAGGAAAAAGAAAGACCCGGGGAACTACAGACCAGTCAGTCTCACCTCTGTGCCCAGTAAGATCATGAAGTAGATCCTCCTGGAAACTATGCTAAGGCACATGAAAAATAAGGAGGTGATTGGTGACAGACACCATGGCTTCACTAAGGGCAAATTTTATCTGACAAATTTGGTGGCCTTCTATGATGGGGTTACAGCATTGGTGGATAAGGGAAGAGCAACTGATGTCATCTACCTGGACTTGTGCAAAGCATTTGACGCTGTCCTGCGTGACATCCTTGTCCCTAAATTGGAGAGACATGGATTTGACGGATGGACCACTCGATGGATAAGGAATTGGCTGGATGGTCACACTCGAAGAGTTGCGTTCAACAGCTCAATGTCCAAGTGGGGACCGGTGACAAGTGGAGTTCCTCAGGGGTCAGTATTGGGACCAGTGCTGTTTAGCGTCTTTGTTGGCAACATGGACAGTGTGATTGAGTGGACCCTCAGTGAGTTTGCTGACGACACCAAGCTGTGTGGTGCGGTTGATGCGCTGGAGGGAAGGGATGCCATCCAGAGGCACCTTGACAGCCTTGAGAGGTGTGTCCATGTGAACATTGTGAAGTTCAACAAGGCCAAGTACAAGGACCTGCAGATGGGTCAGGGCAATCCCAAGCACAAATACAGGCTAGGTGGGGAATGGATTGAGAGCAGCCCTGAGGTGAAGGACTTGGGGGTGTTGGTTGATGGGAAGCTCAACATGACCCAGCAATGTGTGCTTGCAGCCCAGAAGGCCAACTGTATTCTAGGCTGCATCAAAAGAAGCGTGGCCAGCAGGTTGAGGGGGGCGATTCTGCTCTTCTACTCTGCTCTCATAAGACCCCACCTGGAGTATTGCATCCAGCTCTGGGGCCCCCAAAGTAAGAAGGATGTGGACCATTTGGAGTCCGGAGGAGGGCCATGAAGATGATCAGTGGAATGGAGCACCTCTCCTATGAAGACGAGCTGAGAGAGTTGGGTTTGTTTGGCCTGGAGAAGAGAAGGCTCCAGGGAGACCTTATAGCAGCCTTCCAGTACCTGAAGGGAGCCTACAGGAAAGCTGGAGAAGGATTTTTTTTTTTACAATGGTCTGTGGTGATAGGCCAAGGGGTGCTGGCTTTAAAGTGAAAGAGGGTAGATTTAGATTAGATGTAAGGAAGAAACTCTTCCTTATGAGGGTGGTGAGGCAGTGGAACAGGTTGCCCAGAGAAGTTGTGGGTGCCCCATTCCTGGAAGCATTCAAGGCCAGGTTGGATGGGGCTTTGAGCAACCTGGTCTAGTGGAAGGGGTCCCTGCCCATGGTAGGGGGTTTGGAACTAGATGATCTTTAAGGTTCCTTCCAAAGCAAGCTATTCTATGATTCTTTGAAATATATTTATGCATTTTTGATGTCCCTTGTTTACTGAGGCAGCAAAGGTGCTCGCACCTGTAATGGAGTTAGATACACTACATCTGGACAAAGATTCGTTCTTTAGAGGCACGTCTTTCCTGAAGTCCCGATAGAACTGAACTTTTTGGAGCCTGAAAAAGCCCTCAACCTTTTGCATGAACATATATATGGCTTCTGTGACTTTTTAAAGTTTCTGCATTATGGAAGTGAAAAGCAGTTTATCTTGTTTAAAAAAAAATTTCCCTCTTTTACTTTTAGGTCTTATGGTAGTGTGTTTAAAGCAATACACAAAGAGTCTGGACAAGTTGTAGCAATTAAACAAGTGCCCGTGGAGTCAGATCTTCAAGAAATAATTAAAGAAATCTCTATAATGCAACAATGTGACAGGTAGGTATGACAGTTCTGCTGCCTTTCTAGAAGTCTATGTGAAAATGTATTTGTGAATATAGCTGAAATATGCAGCTGCAAACCTTTTTTTACGTGGAAAACTAAAGCATTCTGTGTTGGAGAATTTACTTGCAGGAACCACTTTGTGGACCCCCTACTATCTTTAGCTTGGATTGAAGGAAGTACAAATAGTGTACATAACAGAAACTGTTGAAAGAATAAGTACTTCCCTCTGATTAGAATTCTCCATGCTTACTTCATTTTACTTGCACTGGCAAGCCTGAGGATTAATATTTCCTGTAAATGTCTTTGGCCTTGTGAATTCAGGGTTACCTATTTCAGAAGATCAAGAAAGATGTTTCTAGCACGGGATTAATGGCTAGCAGCTTCCAAAATAGTATTTTATCATTTGCTTTTTTCATGCAGGAACAGACCTTTTAAAAAGTGAACAGTTTTATAATAGTTCTGAAGAAGGACTGTTACCTTATGTTTGTTCACAAACTATATACTATGATTGCTAGTGTTGTAGGAATGGAAGCCTCAAGTGCCTGCAAGGATGCAGAAGTTACTTTGCATTTCCTCTCTTCTATAGAGTTATCAATTTTTTAATTTGTATATTTTTGGGGGATAATATTTTAGGATTTTGGCTGTAACTTCAAAGTCAGATTTGCTAGGGTGAGTCCTTATTCATATCTGATCAGTGGTACAACAGTCTGTTGTTTGTGACTTGAAGTGCAAACAGGAAAGCTTTGCGCTCTAGTTAGGTGAAACTTTCTTTAAGCTGTTGATTGCTTTAGTCATTAACTTGGTGAATTGTATTATAGCAAGTGGTCTGTTATTTCTGAGTTATGTTTGTGATTTTGTGGCATGTCAGTGTTGAAGTTCTGTCTGTAAATGAAAAATTTGCTCTTGTTTGGCAATGAGCAGTACTCATCCCAGATTTAAAGATAATCCTTTTAATGCAGTCTGAATTCATTCACATTTATTGCTGAATGTTTTGCTCAGGTATTACATGGAGCTTGATCATACTGCTCCACAGCATCTTGTCTATGGGGTCATGAAGGAGGAGAGAAGGTTCAAATATTTTTCCTTAACCGTAGAGATAGAGACCTCGGAGTACTTTGCATCTAGCACATGAGAATGCAACTGTTCTTCAAACTTCTTTAGACCCTCTGCCTGCAAGCCCCGATCTGAGTATTTGTGACCTATGAACACACTGGACCTTGTAGTCCCTTCCCTTCTGGCAATGACTGCTCTGAATGCAAGAAGTTTGTTAAATATGTAGGCAGGGGAATAGGAGGAAAAGGAATGATTTATGTTTTTTCCCACATTCCACGAAGATGTGCAATAAGGTTATTTCAGGTGATGCTAAAAGGATTTGGGACCCTTGAGGTTTTTTTGGGGCTCTCCCTAATCCTTTTCAACCCTGTGAGTCTATTTTGTCTGTCTGGCCAGCTGGAGTTTTGTAACAGGTACAGATTAAAAAGGAAGCAGCAATCTTGTTTGCCTGCTTAACTGTGGAACTAGATTTGATCCCCAGAGTAAGTCCTTAGCTCTTCCTCTGCACTGGAAGAGGAGTTAAAATATGTTTACTTTGATTCTTCTTGTTGCTGTGCTCTTAATTCTTTTTATCTCCCCTGCTTCATTTCTTTCCCCTTACATAAGGGAATATATTGATATAAGCTGGAAAATAGCACCTTACAAATCCTCAGAAAGAGTTCTTCTGTGGGGTCAGTGATAGGATAGCAGCCCTTAGTCTCTGCGTAGACTTGAGCCATGTGAGCTGAGTGGAAGCAGTGGTGTAGACTGTAGGGTGTGTGTATCTGTTAGTACTAGACCAGGATTGAAATAGATAAAACAAATGTCTGTGAAATGTACTGATAGAGAAAAGAAGTGGTGACACTTGAATCTTCTAAATTTTTCACTTTTACTATGCTGCTTGTGACATTTTCATTCTTCTCCTAGGTGGGCCTACTCAGCATCTTACTCCTGTGTCCCCTGTCCTGCCCCCTTTTTTCTGCCCTTGTTCTTTGTTTCCTGCTTTTCTTTGAACAACATGTTGCATTTAGTATCTACTGGACATGTGCTATTGTATAACTTTTTTTTTTAAGGGTTGAAAAGAAGGGTTGGGCTGCAGCTCTGTACCATGTGCTTGTGTATGTGTCGTGTGTCTTTCTGCAAATTCAGTGCTGTGCAGTACTGATGGCAGCGATGATGCACTTTTTAGTACTTTATTTTCACATGTGATGATTCCACAGATATTATGGAAAATCGCTGAGTTGTTGCAGCATCTCAAATAAAAGATGATTAAACCTTAACATTTTACCCTTTCTTTCTTCTCCGTGCCCGTTTCTAGAACTAGCTACACTGTATGTGCTGAAGCTCTTCTAAGGAGGCAAAAAAATGTAGATTCTAAGACAAGCAGTTGATATGGAAAAGGCTGGCCCATGTAGTTAACTGGGATGTGGCTTTAAGCAAACATGAATGGTGTTTTGAGATTGTACAGCACTTGATGTTTTCAAAAGATCGTCTTGTCCTGATTTGTAATAATACGCTATTTGCTGGGAATGATAGCATAGTGTAAATCTGGCAAAAGATAGTTGGGCAAATCAATGGGTTTTCTTCAGAAGTAATAGTGACCTTCCTCACTTCAGGAATTTATAAGGGGCAAGATTAGTGTGTCATACTTTTAAATGGTAGACATTTTGACTAGCTAAGAGGCAATTGACCCACCTTGCCTTCTGTAAAGGCAAGTTCCTATAGTACTAACAGTTGCTCTTTAATGAAGTAGTTTGCTGATAGTTTTGACGTATCTTTATAAGATAGCACCGTGTTCTAGGAGGCAACCATAGGTCTTCTCTTTCTTACATCAGTTTTCTAACAAAAATGTTGCTGACAAACATGCTGATCCTAAAACGCAGTTCCTTGCTCCAAAAAAAAAAAAAGTGTTTGGTTCCATCCCACTATGCAGGTGTCCTGACTAGAAGCCATTGTCTGAGATCTCAGTATCTTACTTCCTGACTTTGTGGGAGATGGATGGCAATGTAACTGTAACATCCTTTGCTTACGTTCCTGCAAAAAAACCCCCCAACCTCCAACCTTTTATTTCCATAAATACACTATCTAATTACTTTTCTGAAGGATGATCCTTGTTATGTTTACCACATCTGTTTCTGCCTTTCTTTTGCAAGTGTGTCCGAGGAAGCGTTATGTCAAGTGACAAATGGATGAGTAGCTAAGCAGTATTTTCTGTTTGACGATACTATCTCCTCACATCAGATGCTTCAATATAAAAATGCATTTGCAAATCCAGTAGTGTTCAAACCAACACTAGATTCTGTTTAATATGGAAGTCTAGATCTGTACTTGAGCTAAGTTCATGCTTGCAAACCCAGGAAAACATGGGTGAGTTTCCATGTTTTTTTGCTCAGGAAAGAAGAAAACAAGGCAATCTTTCTAAGAAGGGAAACATCCAGTGACTTTGTGAGAAGAGTTAAAAATTGAGGGGCCTTAAATAAGGGGAAAAACTAAGTTTTATTTCAGAAGACTAATATTTGGGAAAACAATGTCTGTATTTGAAGATCACTGACAGCTTGTGATATGTGTAGTAGTGCCTGTATAATTTGATTAAGGAGACAGACTTGACTCTAACAAGGCATTGGTTAAACTAATTACAATTTTTAAATGTATTTGATTACACTTGCTATTTAGATGTGTGTGTGTGTGTGTGAAACCATAATTTTTAACACTACTTGCAATGATGATTTTTTTCTATATTAAGAATTCATCTATTATCTAACTTTTTTTTTCCCCATCTAGTCCATATGTTGTCAAGTACTATGGCAGCTATTTTAAGAACACGGATCTATGGATTGTTATGGAATATTGTGGAGCTGGCTCTGTTTCAGACATAATTAGACTTCGTAATAAAACGGTAAGTTTTTTTTCAAAAATGTGTAACACTTACTAAAATTAAACTGTGAATTAAGACTAGAAGCCAGACTAAAAGTCAGAGTTACAAGGCAAGATCTGGACTGATATCAAGGTGCGTATCTGTGCCTTGGTTCCTCAGGAAATACGCTTGTGCAGTTGCTCTGACTTTGTCCATTCCTCTGTGGAGGGATTATCAGCAGAAGCAAATGTGTATTGAAATATGAAGGTCGTGTAAGTTTCTTGAAAATTACTGCTTTGTACAAGGCAAAATTCACAGTTGATCAGCAGGTCTCTTAACACATGCATGGTTTGGAAATGGGCATAGAATTGTCTTGTTCCCACTCGGTAATTAGGGAGCATGAGAAGTAATTGGCATCACTCAAGGAATGAGCAGGGGAAGGGGTGCCAGTTAAGGAATGTGAGAGGGAACCAAAATGAGGGTTGTATGGAAGAGTCTTAATGGGCTTATAACAGCAATAATGTAGAGGAGGATGCACACCTGTAGGAAACAGGCTTTGCTATACTTAAGAAACAGCTTCTCTGAAAAATGTTTTGTTGTAGATGTCAAATAATTTTTAGTTCCTTTGAATCCATTGTCTTCAGCAGTGGGCTGTAACATAAGGGCTTCATTTTACCAACAAATACTGGGAGATGACCCTCTGCTTGCTAGCTCTTTAAATTTTGTAAACGTGCCCTGAAATGTTCCTTGTACCATACCTGGGAGCAGAGAGGGAAGGAGAGAAACAATGTTCATGCTTAGAAGATAAGACATAACAGAAAATTGAATTAGTTTTATTAGGAAGTGGTGTGATGTCCAGAATAGAGGGAGACCCTTTGGAAAAGGTGGCTTGTATGAGGGCTGCAGTAATGTGGAACTGATGACTGTGGAAAAGCTAAAAGCAACGGGAGATTGCTGGAGTTCCTGTAACCTTTAAAACTGGTGTCCTTGCAGTTATGTAGTATCTGGGGGTTAGTAGCTCCAAAAAGAAATGGTTAGTCCCGATTTTATCTTTTTGAAAAGGCCCATTTAAAACAGGAATTGGAAAAATAAGGAGTAAACTTGTGAATACATCAATAGAAAATGCTAGAATTTTTTGTTTTAAAAAAGTGTGCATCTCCGTATTTATATTAAATAAACCAGGTGCTCTAGTTTCTCTTACATCTATTTTAGGATATTGACCTAGAGAGATTAGAGATTTAGCAGAGCAAATGCATACCAAAGATCAGACAAACTTAGCTCTTCTACTGCTGTTTGTAGTTAAAGTTGATATGATTAAATAGCATAAATTCTATTCTAAGAAATAATAAATACATGGATATATGTAATGAGAGTAAAGTTAACATACCTTTTGTAAAAGCAAGTAATGTAGCATGTACCTAGTAGAGTTCTACAAAGGAGTTGTTGGGCACACAAATAATGCTGGTTGGTGTCAAGTTGGTCTGGATATGCTTTGCACTGAAAGGTTTACAGACAGACTTCCACACCAGAGGCTCTTCAACAGATACTCCTGTAATGGAGTAAACGAGGAGTTCTGTCATGGTAGTTGGTTTAAATATAAAAAAAGAGGGTGTGAGTAAATGGCCATTTTGGGAATACTACATGGGTCTTTGCTATCCTCTTTGGGAAAAGAGGGTAGAAGTACTGATGAGAGAGGTTATATTCTTAGTAGTAAAAACAGGGAAAGACTTGAAAGGCTTTGGGGTACTGAGTGTCTGACTGAGAATATAAGAATAAGAAAATGTGAAGAGACAAATTTGGCTTGGTGGAGGACGCAAACTCTATATACAGGTTCATGAGCACTTCAGCTTAATGTTTAGAAATAATTGAACAAGTAAAGTGGTTGCCAAAGATCACAGTAGTACCAAGGATGTAACAGAACTATGGAAGTTAGAGAAAGGTGACAAGGGTGATCAGAAGTAAAGAATACTTCTCTAGAAGGAGATACTACATGGATTAGGATACTAAATGGATTCTCAACTTCTGTGTTGAGAAAAGGTACTCGGAGGGAGAGACATGGTGGAAAGTTTTGAAAATAATCAGTAGCATAAAAAGAGTGAGTAAGATATGGCTATATCTTACCGTTTATTACAAAACAAGAGATCACTCATGTTAGTAGATCTGAAGCAAAAATTTTTTCTCTACACATGATCATGAAGTCCACTGTGTAGTTATAGATGATCTTATGGATGCTAAGAGTTTGTATTTAAAAGGCAATTGAGTAAGACCAGGAAAATATGACTCTGGCTGAATGCAAATATTTAATGGCTGGAGCAGGAAATCCATGTGCTTCAGATCCCTGCGAAGGTGAAGCAGACAACTATCACTGCTTAAGTGACGCATACTTACATTCAGACAGGCTACCAGGCTAGATAGAACTTTTATTTTGGCTTAGGATAGGGGCTCTTCTGGTGCATATAACAAAAAAATCAAAGCAAACTCCTCCATTTCTCAATTGCTGTGCCTATGTCTTGCAAGTTTTGGAAGATGCAGGGAGAGGCTTTGGACTTGTTTGAATTCTCTTGTTCTTTGTGGAACAGAGACCTGATCACCCAGACAGCTTGTGACTGTGTTATGGGAATGAGGCTGCCTATATATGTATGTGTATATATATATATGTATATATAAATGTGTATATAAATATATATATAAAAAACTTTAATGGCAACAAGAGGTGGTTTCACTGTACTTTTCACAAGAGAAAAAAAAAGAAAAGTTTTCACTTGGAAGTGAGGAGGGAACTGTTTCTTATTTGTCAGAATGTTTATTGAATAGGCCCAGACACACAGGGTTATGTGTTCTGTCATTTTCCCAAGTTGTCAAATGAAGACTGTGGCTGGCCCAAGGAAAAGTTTATTTCTTCCTCCATATATAAGGAAAAAAAACTGAGGAAGAGAGAGAGAGTTGAAGTAAGAACCCTTACTTTAATGTAATGATCATTAGGATCCTCATATCAAAATGAGTCATAGGAAAAGGTGGATGTCCCCTCATATTTGGGGAGGAAACATTATTAGGTACTTGCCCTTGTTGCTTATCTCTCAAACTACGAATTTACTGGTGGTCTTTTTCTGTATCTGTGTTTCCCCTGTTTATTCAAAAGTTTTGTTGTTTGCCTAGAAAGTGCACAACACTGGGCTTTGCTCTAATGGACCCAAAATGAGGGAAGCGGAATTCAAAGTTAAGGAAATTTCTAGTGACTCTTGGGAGCCTGTTCCTATTGAGAGGTTTTCAGCTTGACAGGAGCAGGTTCTTATCCAAGAGGCCCAAGGCAGTACGTTGAAGTTAAATCGACCTCTGGAATTCTGCCCTGGAGTTTTCTAGCTTGCCAGGCAGATCAGCAGCAATGAAGCAAGCATATGATGCCTAGTAGCTCGTCTGAGGTGTGGTGTTCATCAGTCCAAGGCAACAAAGCTGTATATCTAGTTTTGTGTGCTTTTGTCAGAGACTGATTCGGGAGGTATTTGTATCTTATACAGTTAAACTGGGTTGCTTCCAAAAAGGGCAGTTCCACTGTTATCCTCCAACCTGGCTGATGCGTTACTTCCTTTTCCATGCCTCAGATGCTGCAATTGTGTGGCTGCAGGGTGATCTTGGATAAGATCTTGATGATCTGATGTGGGAACTTTCTCTAGTCTGGCCTCCCCACCCCCTTGTGAGCTAATTTGGGACTCATTATGGCAGCACAGTGGCTTGATCTGATGCAAGAGAGACATTAGGAATGAGCAGTGGGGAAAGGGAAGGAAAAGAAGGAATGAGACTGACTTTTTCAGTGGCAGCTTGCAATACAATGAGATAATTACTATGTGAAGCAATACTTCCTGCTGGCTGCTATTAATGTATTAGGGAGTATTGACACACTAACAACCCTGCTTCTCTACAGATAATTTAGGGTGCACTTGTTCATCCATTGGTCATGAGTAACCTGTCTCTTCAGGGACCAAATTCAGTTGGCTGTAGCATACCCTGTAGTGGCTATGCAATGGGTTTATGAGACAAAGCTGCCTTATTTGGGACAGTATTGTAAGTGACAAGCGTAGCAATGTACTACCGTACAGGTGGCGTGCTGTTGGGTTCAGAGGTCCTGCATCTGAACTGTGACTTCCTTTACATACCAATTTATTTATCAGTTACATATTGATTGTCTCCTGCCATATTTTCTTAGCTAATCACTTTTTTTCATGTGTTTAAGCTTGAGTAGTGTATCTGTAGCTCTAGATGCTGTGTTTGAATGTCCTTCTGGCTTTGCTTTCTCTATATGCAACTGTGGGTGTACAGGGCAGACCTTTGTTTCTTCTCTGGGCTAAATGCACTTTGCTCATAAGAATGTTATTTTACAGTTTTAAGCAGTTATGTTTCTCAGTAATTTCACTGTTAAAATACTTTTAATTTTGGAGGCCTTTGCTGCACTAAAGTACATGTGATTTGCAGCTATAAATTGGTTATCTAAGGTCTGATAACTCTTATGTTTTCTGTTTTAAGTAGCATCTATCAGAGTGTAACTTCCCCAGTTGAGCCCACATGGATTAGTAGCCAGCCAGTCGGTGCACAAAGACTGAAATTCCTTCTGCGCTGGCTAACTTGTTTAATTGGTCTTGGTGGCCAGAAGTAACGGCAATGGACAAGTCCATTCTAGATATGCTGCTGACAATGTTCTGTTGCTAAGCCTTTTGGGAGGTGAATCGACTCAATGGGCTAGTCAGCTGTGTTACTGTTCAGAGGTTGATCTTTAGGCCAAGACTTTTCAAGTACTTTTCTGTATAGCCAGACTGAGGAAGAGAAGTTGATCCCAAATGTCCTGGTTGCTGTATTCTGTGTCTAGCCTTACAAACCAAGGTAGTCTGTACTAGCTTCTAGTACAGAGCACAGAGATTGTTCAGCGCTTGTCTAAAAAAATCCTTATTATGGCAATGAGTGATTGACTATTACATAAAAGATGGGTGGCATTATCTCAATTTTTGGCAATTATTTTTCCTTAGTTCATTAGAGTAGCATTGAGATTCAGA